CGGGAGTTTTCGGGGTTGCTGATTACGAATCCGATGTCAGTTTTTGAAAATTCAAAATCCCGAAATCCCCAGAGCGACAAGTTTTAAGCCAATCTAATTAATTATTCATACTAGATCAGCCATTTGCAATTTTCAAAAACAAACATCAAATTCGAATTCAGCGACCCCAAAAACCCCTGAGGAACGAATTTCTATCGAATAGCATCAATCTTCAAATTATCCGCCATATTGGATCCGCCATTTAAAATTTTTTAAAACTGACCCAAAATTCGTAATCAGCGACCCCGAAAACCCCCTAATAACAAGTTTCAAGCAAATCCGATGAATTTTTCAAAAAGTGTCCGCCATGTTGGATCCGCCATTTTGAATTTTTAAAAACTAATAACAGATTCGTAATCAGCGACCCCGAAAACCACCAAGTAACAAATTTTATGCAAATCTGAGCAGTTTTGAAAAAAAATGTCGGCCATATTGGATCCGCCATTTTGAATTTTCAAAAACTGACATGAGATTCGTAATCAGCAACCCCGAAAACCCCCGAGTAACGAGTTTCAAGCAAATCCGATAAATGTTTTAAAAAATTGTCCGCCATGTTGGATCCGCCCTTTTGAATTTTCAAAAATTATTATCATATTCGTAATCAGCAACTCTAAAAACCCCCGAGTAACGATTTTCAGGCGAATCCGATGATTAATAAAGTCTGTAATTTACGTGCTGTGTAATGGAAATATACCATGGGTAACGGAGGGGAGTTTTCTTCCATTATACAGCTTCAAAATGTTATGATTCTAATATAAAAAAAATAAATATTATAAATAAATTAATGACAGCATTTGTTTTCTTTGTTTTTAAATAAAACAATGTTTTAAAGATTATTAAAAATTATTATTATTTACATCCTAAAAACTAAATTTACTGCGGTAACGGAGGGGAGTTTTTATTGTGTCGATGAACACTGACAAACTAAAGATTCTTTTAAAACTAATTGTTTTCATTTTGTTTCATCATTTTATGCAATAACCATAACTATACTGACACTACAAAGAGTTTTGATGTATTTATTTCTATTTTATCGTTTTTGTTTATATTTTATAATTATATTTGTGAGCGGTAACGGAGGGGAGTTTTATTTCTGCACAAAACTAATTTAATTCTAGGTAAAAATAACTAACAAATATTTTACTTTATTTTTCATGATTGAATTAGAAATAAAATAATAAGTAGATATTACCAGGCAAAAGATTTTTTTGTATTACAGAATTAATATAATACCTTTTCTATAAATGAAACTTACTTCATGAACGCTAACGGAGGGGAGTTTTTATGCTATATAAACACGTGTATCTTTAAATATTTCAAATTTTCGATTTATTTTTCATAGGATCCGATTAAATCATGATGAATGCTATTATTAGGACGTAAAGATTTTGAAAAATTATTATTATTTATTTTTAAAAATCTAATGTACGTGTCATGTGTCTCGATTGTGAGAATGACCCATAATGTATTGAATATTTTTATCACTTTGTTTTGATAGCGCTACGAGATAGAATTGCTTAGATTTCATATACATGTAATCAGATGTGACTCACAGCTGATTCATTTACGACTGTAAGGTCTTATTTGGGACGAATTTGTAGGACGATTTATCAATTTTTTTTAAATTATTAAATTAATTCAGTAAATTTTTGTATATATACACATTTCTTTTCGGAATATAAAAATTTTTTCTTTCGGAATTATATTGATTTTTAGCCACTAGTCGCGCATCATGAACAAACAAAATAAGTATTAATAAAAATTTTACTAACATTGTAATTGTCAATGTTTGTATATTGTAATACTATGTATGGAATTTTTATGATTTGAGAAAACTATTTGTAAAAACAATTTTAATGATATATATTAACACATGACATTGGTATGAGGCCATATTTTGAGCGATTTGATTAAAAGAATAAAAGATAATTTACCTAAGCATCAAAATAAAAAAAAATGATTGGTCTCTCATGTTCGTTAAATACAAAGTAGATAATTTTCATTCCTTGATGAACGTAGTGGGGCTGTGTTTCTGTCGCGTCGCGGACGGGGATTTGCGTTTTATTCGGATTCAATTTATTTAAATTAAAATCAGTCTTAATATCAAAGTAATAATCAACAAAATATATTGTTTATTTTTAATAAAAATTTAAATTGCGATTTTCTTTTTGAAATAAGATTTTATCAATTTATCTATTTTTCCCTAATAAATTATAACTGTGACGTATGATTTTAACTAATTTTATTTTAGTATAAATTTCTGCTTAACGTCAAGCAAAATCTGACGCTTTTAACAATAATAATAATATGAAATTTAATTTAATAAATTTCGCCGTCAGGCGCCAATTAATTTTTAAGCTCAATTAATAAACTACTCGACTCTTTAACAACAACCCGACAAACAACCACCTCTGAGACGCTCTCAATCGTCAGAGGAAATTCTGCCTGAACAAATTGGCAAGCAGAAATGCCAACGACGAGACACGACTGGTACTACACTGGCACGATACTGACTCACCCCAACGACGCTTCTCGATTTCTCTCTTTCAAAATTTCGGCACGCTCCTTCCAAAGGATTCCTTAATTGAGGGAAGAGAAATAATCCAACACTCAAATAATTCACTTTTCACAATTTCAACTTTTATTCACAACAAAACTCCAGTTCTCCAAAATACTCAAAATTTAACAAAACTATTTCACACTCACTCTTCATTAATGTTCTCTAATAACACACACTCTTCGAACCACTACTCTCTCTACGTATCTCGTAGATCGACTCTCCTACATATTTCGTAGGTCACTAACTACTCAAAATGTCGGCGAAAAACTCTTGACACCTGTTTCTCGCTTTTCCTACACGTGCTCGGCTTCTTCGACTTCTTCTTCTCTCTCGTTCCGCTGGCTCTCCTCTCTCTATCTCTTTCTAATAGACAGCGGCTCTGCCCTCTACCACTTTCTCTCCTACTAACTAGCCGCGCGACACACATTCACCACTGATAGTGGGTCACACGGCAGTTCCGACTTTCTAAATTACCATACCAATTAACGATCACGGTTCAGGGATGATTCCGACAGATGACATGACGATTCAGAATTTCGATAAAATAAAGAACGACAATTCACATCGTCACATAACATAAAAAAAGTAAATAAACAAAATAAAAATGGTTATAACAAGGGACCAGTCAAATCGCGGTGGCGCTGGTACCATTGATCCAAACGCCGAACCACCGAACAATCGCGCAGGAACGAGTGGGGGAGCAACAGCTAGACCCACCACTGGCCCACCGACGAATCGTGCCGGATCAAATACGACCGCGGAAGTTAGAGATAACGTGGAAAGTGATTTAGCGACTAGACAACAAGCGATTGCTCAACGCGAACACGAATTAAATCAAAGAATAGAAGAACTTGCACGTCGCGAGCGTGAATTTGAAAATAGCATCGCTTAGAATGCACTTATCGGTGAGAACATCAATCAACAAATAAATCAAAACCCACACGCGGTACCAAATGCTGACCCAAATATTATGCATAACCAAGCAATAATTATGAATCCAAATGAAATTCGCGATCCACTCGCTGTACCCGCTGCACTGATAAATGATCAGATTGCAGCTATAGAAAATCCTATTTTTAATCCTGTTAGGCAATTGTTTCAAGAAAATCAAAATTCAATCAAGCTTCCCCAATTTAGTCTTAATGATCCCGAGATGTGGTTCACGCAGGTAGAATCAATATTTAATCGAAATAGAATTGAAACAGAACACTTAAAAGCACAAGTCGTTATGGCTCAGGTAGATGCCGACACACTTTCTTGTGTGAGGCATATTGTGATGGCAGATCCTAAGCAGGTCGACGTATATATGTCGTAGGCAAATAAAGAATTCGTCATTTAGCTAAATGCCTAGGCAATTAGCTAAACGGCGCCGAATAGACAAATGAGCTTCATTATTACTGTTATTCGTCTATTCGCCTGGAAGGATTAGGCAATTAGCTAACTGGCTAGGCATTTAGCTATTCGACAAACGCAGTTTAGGCAAATAGAAGAAAATGAAAAAATATTGAAATATAGAAAATAAATATAATAAATAAATAATAAATATTAATATTAATAATAATATTAATAATAATTATGTTAATTATAATTATATTAATAATAATTTATTAATAAATAAATTAAATAATAAATAAATATAATAAATATAATAAATATTGAAAAAATATTTTCATTTATTGAAATATTGGAACGTCTTATTTGCATTATTTTCCGTTAAATATGAGCTATAAATTGTAAACAGAAGATTGAAAGAAAATAAGTTTAATATCTTAATAAATATTACAAAAATACACATCGTGATAAATTGTAAACAATAATCGAAACAAAATAAATTTAATAGCTTAATTAAATGTTAGAGAGGAACACGTAAGAACGAAATTTTATTTAGTATAATAATACTTCTCTTACTCTCTAGATCAAAATTTCAGTTATCATGAGTGTAAACGAAATTGAATTCGATAAAAAAATAAAGTTGTTTTATAGTCAGCAGAAAAGTAATAGGACTGTTTGGGATAAAAAACGCTTACAAGAAGTTTTAAAAGTGCTGTCGGATTTTGAAAGTGTAAAATCAATGAAAACGTGTTCCTATTATCATTGTTCAAAATTATACGAGCTTGTGAAACTTGGAGGTGAATACCACGTAATTTTAAAAAGAACTGACGAAAACGGACCGTTGATATATGTGATTCCGCGTGAAGAATATTATGAAAAATTATTAGAGGCGCATATTCAAACTGGACACGGAGGAAGGGACAAGATGTTGTATTACATCAAAAATAAATGGAAACTATCCAGGCAAGCTTGATAAATATTTATCCAATGCTGTGAAAGTTGTAATAGAAAAAAAGCACTTCCAAAAAAAGGCGTCGTCGTAAAACCTATAACATCGAAAGGGTTCAACATGCGTGGTCAGGTAGATTTGATCGACTTCCAGTCGTGTAGTGACGGTGATTTTAAATGGTTAATGAATTACCAAGATCACGCAACAAAATTTCTCCACCTGCGACCTTTAAAATCCAAACACGCAGCTAATGTGGCGGAGGAATTGTCGAAAATTTGTTTTACATGGGGTGCGCCACAAATATTACAAAGTGACAACGGAAGAGAATTTGTTGCTGCAGTTATTAATGAACTGACAACAATTTGGCCTTTCTGCAAAATAGTACATGGTCGCCCTCGACATCCTCAGAGCCAAGGAAGTGTCGAACGATCCAACGCAGACGTTGAGAATATGGTTCGAGCGTGGATGCTGGACAATAGGTCTACAAATTAGAGTCGCGGAATTTATGAAGTGCAGGTGATTAATTATAATAATAATAATAATAATAATAATAATTTTTTTTTTTTAGAGGAGGAGGTGAAATGCTTTATGCACTCCCTATATCTTAGGACTGTGTGGGACTGAGTCGATCCTACTTTCTGTAGCCGCCCTTACCGCACTAAAACACCCCCCATTCACGCCTACCAACTAACCCCCGGTATTCGCTTTTCGCATTTCTTCAGGGGTTGGAGATCTTCGGCGACTCTTTGCCGTGCTTCGGCTTTCTCTCTGATTGTTGACCTGCTTGGATTTCTTTTTTGTTCTCTTTCTGTTTAATTCTTTTCGTCAGTTTTTTAAAATAAATAAATAATACTCAACAATAACGGAACATCTAACTCATATATCGACTTTAATATAAATTCTAAACATCTATCTGATGGTGTCCATTTCAATCTTTTTTAATTTCAGAACTTTTTCTGCGTAAGTAGATACATTATACCACGTGTTTTCATTTAGCATCATTTTGTTCACAATATTTTCAGGAGTTATTCGTCCAATGTTTTCTTCTAATTCTCTTCTTTCTAGGCTCCATCTTGTACAGTGGAAGAACGTGTGATAAACATCATCTTTTTCAGAGTCTCCGTACATGCATGCTGCTGTCTGTGTTTTACCTATTTTATGTAAAAAGGCTAGGAAATAACCATGTCCAGTTAATAACTGTGTTAAGTAATAGTTAACCTCTCCACATTGTTGGTTCATCCACTCATTAATGCTTGGTATGAGTCTAAAAGTCCATCTACCTCTTGTTTCTACGTTCCATCTTTCCTGCCATGTGTTCATGCTCAATTCTCTTGCTGTTCTACGAGCCTCTGTCTTACTTGTATCTTTATCTCTATTGTACACTATTTTTCTTTCTTGAGCCATCAAATCAATAGGCATCACTCTTGCTATAATTAATGCAGCTGGTTCTGAGACGGTTCTGTAGCAAGACGATATTCTTAGCGCTCCTAACAATTGAACCGACGCCATTTTCTTCCTATATTGTTCTTTCTTTAGGACATCCGCCATCAATTCACTACCATAAAGTAAGACAGAATTTGTCACTGATAAAAGAAGTCGCCTTTTTGTTGGTGATGGACCACCAATATTTGCAAATAATCTGCTCAAGTTTGCGGTTATTTTTAGAGCTTTTTCTGATACAGTTTTAATGTGGTCGAAAAATGTCAGTTTTTTATCTATTTTTACACCTAAATATTTTAAGGAATCCTTCGTAGTAACTTGTTTATCTTTGATTTTCATGCTTATTGTTGTCTCGATCTGCCGCCTCGTCAGTAGAACAATTTCTGTCTTCTCCAGTGCCAGCATTAGAGAATGTTCCTTCATCCAGACGTTTACTCTTCTCATGACTTGATTCAAGATCATTTGGGCATCATTTGTGTCTTTTGCCGAAATTATCGCAGCAATATCGTCTGCATATCCAACTAAGAAAGCGTGTTTAGGCATTTCCTTTCGAAGAATGCTATCGTATGAGATATTCCACAAATCTGGGCCTAATATTGAACCTTGGGCCACGCCAGCAGTTACCTTCTTTCTCTCATCTCCCTCTTCAGTAAGATACATTATTTCCCTGTCACTGAGATAGCTTTGTATCATGCGAATTAGGTAAGATGGAATCTTAAAGCTTTCCAATGATTTTAGAATGTCCACCCATCTAGCGGAGTTGAACGAGTTTTTAACGTCCAAAGTGACCAACACAATGATTTTACGGGAGTAATGGTTTATTCGTTGTTCAGACTCGAATTTTGTTATGACTTCTTTTACAGCTCCAATCGTAGATAAGCCTTTACGGAAGCCGTATTGTCGCTCTGATAATCCCCCATTTTCTTCCACAGCTTGCGTTAAACGGGTCTTCAGTAACTTTTCGAGAAGTTTCCCTATAGTATCGAGCATACACAGTGGTCGGTTTGCTGATGGCGACTTCGGGTCACCTTTGCCTTTACAAATTAAGATTAACCGTTGTATCTTCCATCTCTTCGGAAATATACCCTCAAGGAGACATTTATTAAACAAGTTTAAGAGAATTTCTGGGCATAAAAACGTTACTAATTTTAAAACTTCCGCTGGAATCCCATCAGGACCCGGTGCCTTTTTGTTTTGGAGAGCCGCTGCTGCTTTCGTTAGTTCGCTTAAGTCGAAAAGTGGTATCTCTTCATTTGGGATGACCACTCTTAGATCCTTTGGACGGTTTGGATGTGTGGGAAACAAAGAGTTTACAATCTGTTTTATTTCTTTAGTATTTAGATCAACGTTATTTATTGGTGCTTTTAACTTCTTCATAACTAATTTGTAACCTAATCCCCAAGGGTCGTTTTCTATATCTAGTGTGAGTTCTTTCCATTTGAATTTTTTGCTCTTCTTTATAGCGTTTTTTAGGGATTTTTTTGCTACTTTATATTCTTCTTCTTCTTGGAAAGCTACTCCGCATTTCTTCTTCCTAGCTCGAGTTGCTCGTCTCCTAAGTCGAAGACAGTTTTTCCTGAGATTTGCAATTTCGGTTGTCCACCAGTAAACCGACCGCCTCTTGTCGTTCTGTTTTTTCCGGGACATGGAGAGATTGCAAACTTTATGGAGAAGTTTGACTGTATCTTTAGCCAGTGTTTCTGCGTTCTTCCATTTTTTACTATTGCTAGTTCATCACAGCCAACTGAGATAGTTTCCTTAAATACTTCTCTGTTAAGTTTATTTAAATTCCAGCTAAGTTTTCTGGTGGTTTGTTTTATATAGGGATTTATTTTTTTCGATATTGTGAAAGCGATGTACTGGTGGTCGCTACCAGTATAGTTTTCTTTTACTTCCCATGTTTCAATGTGACCTGCTAAATTTTCACTTACAAGGATAATGTCTGGGATTGTTTCCGCGTAACCCGGGCGTCTAAATGTAGGGGTATTTCCCTGGTTTGCAACCGTTAAACCAATTCTGGCAGCCATTTCTAAAATACTAAATCCCCTTGTATCTAGTTTTTTCATACCCCAGTCTGGTGCTTTTGCGTTAAAGTCACCACCAATTACAAAGGTCCCACTCTTTTTTCTGATAAAATCTTCCAAACAGTTAAGTTTATCTAAGAAAGACCCTAAACTCTCGTTTGGTGTAAAGTAACAGCTCACAAATGTGATTTCTTCGTTATTTACCCAAACGAAACCATCCTCACTTCCGTGATTCTTTACTCGAAATTCTTTTCTATTTAGAATCCATATGGCCGCCGTTGAAAGGTTATCCATGTACCAGCAGTGTTTATTTATATTTGTGTATTGCTCGCTAATCAGCACTAGATCGATATTTAGTTCTAGAGTGAGTTGTAGGAGTAAATCGTCGGCTATTCTGCTTCGATGCAGATTTCCTTGAAGGAGTTTCAGTTTTTTCATTTCTTTGCCTTATCAAGGGCTTCTCTGAATACGACACATTTGCCAGAACCTGCTGTATGATCTTTATCAATATCTCTCTCGGCGCATAAAGAACATTTTGGTGGTGCACTGCAGCTCTTTTTTTGGTGTCCTTTCTCTCCGCAGCGGAGACATTCGTCTCTCCTATCTGGGCCTTTACAGGTGGATTGGTGGTGTCCATAGCTTAGACATTTGAAGCATCGCATCACTATTGTTCTTAGGCGTACTCTGCAATTTACCCAGCCGATCTTGATCTTAGCTATTTTTAGTATCTCCATTGCTATTGACTCATTTAGTATCACTATAGCTAATTTTTGACCTCTATTATTTTCCTTGGTAACGAACACTTTTACATCTTCAGGGAGATTTTTAACCTCTCTTTTCAATGCAGAAAGAACTTCTTCTTCTGATGTACAACAGTCCAAATCTAAGATTTCAATTGCCACCTTAGGACTGAGATTGCGCACTTCTGCATCTTGTCCAATGGCCTTCTTTAAGGCTTCATTGAATTCTGCCTTCTTTTACGCGGGTTGGCTTAGTTCTATGAGTACGCATCCGTTTCTAGTTTCACTGATTGACTTTATTTGGATTTGCATATAATCTGGGTCTAACGCACTTTTTCGGAACTTATTTACTACTTCCGAATAAGTTTTGCCTTCGCTCGGTTTTAATAAGACGGCTTCCTTTCTGGGTCTAAACTTTACGTTTGATTTTAGGAGCTTGGTTCCTTCGTCAATCTTCGTTTTCTCTAGGGCTTTTTTCTCTTCCTTACTTACGACGCTAGTCCATTTTTCAGGATGCATGTCCCTCTTCCCTATTTTTTTTCTTTCAGAATGTTCAGTTGGTTGTGGTGGGCTTGTAGCCATTCGCTTATTCCTTGTCCCAGTTGGGGTGTTTTCTCTTTCAACTTGATTTTTAATTCTCCTCGTATTTTGTTGGGCTAACATCTCTTCAACTTGCTCTACCTTCTCAACCATTTTAGGAAGGCCGTTTTTAATTACTTTCTTTATATTTGGTTGACTTTCTAATGCGCCTATCATACATTCCAAAAGTTTCTTCATTTCTACAAGGGCATCTGATATCGCTATCTCAACATCCTCATGTTCATCGCTTGTAGTATTAAATACCCTGCCAGCCAAGTCGTCCACTGTTAGGGTACTGCAGTCATAGGATCTCGACGTTACGGAACCTGCTTGCTCATTCCGGCGCGCCGCCTCTGGGGTTTCCGAATTCCCCTGTACGGTAACTGCAATCTTATTTTTGTCTTGATTCATGATTTTTGTTTTTTTTTTTTTCGGGTCTTGCATATAAGTATGTGATATGTAAGTGATAGTGTTGTGTAAACTCCGCAATGTACAGCCTCGCGAGGCAGGGTGCGCGGATATTTGTGCATGTCAGTGTATTTGTGTCTGTCTTATATGCAACACATGCGTCTCATGTGTTACATGGGTCAGTCATGTGCGTGTAAGGGTGTTTTCGTGTGAGTGTAAGTGTCGGATAGTCTCTTGGTCAAGGTGAAACCGCGAAAGAGTCACGAGCCACCCCGCCCGTCGAGCGACGCCTGCCCTGCTCCCCCCAAAGGAAAAGATTCCGAACGAAAACCGACTCCGAGTACGTCAACGTATTGACGCCCCAAACTCCAAGCTCCGGATAGCCCAACTTAACGGGATCGCGAGTCAGACGAAAGGAAAACTCATCTTTATCGAGAATCGACATCCTCAAATCCAGGGGGAAACCGAGAAGATGCCCCTCACCGAGAGGGAGAGCGCGAAAGTCCCAACGTTTCCACCTCTAGGCCCCATCACCGCGGCCAGGTAAATCAATCGGCGGATGCATCACAAGGAGATGGATGAAAAAACATCAATCGACGGGTGAAACATCCCCCGACGGATGGACTACCCATCGATGGGGAATAATAATAATAATAATAATAATAATAATCCCCGCCGATGGTTGTCAACTACCGAACATCATCGATGTCTTTGACGTACTGGGAGAAGCGGATCCACTGCCAAATATCATTGATTTCTTTGATGTGCTGTGAGAAGTAGATCCACTGCCGAACATAATTGATTTCTTTGATGGGCTGGGAGAAGTGGGTCCGCTGCCAGACATGACTGATTTCTTTGATGAGTCGGGAGAAGTGGGTTCGCTGCCAGACACGACTGGCATCTTGGATATGTTCGGTAGACCTTGCCGTGGTGGCGGGGCTTTTCACTAAAGGACAACTAACAGGGTGGTTCCCTGATTTTAAAACCAAAAAAAAAAATAAATGAAATGGATAAAGAATCACATAAATTACTCCAAGTGGGTACCTCGAAAGAGGGTAATCCCACCACCGATTCTGATTGGGTGCAAGCCTCGATAGTCGGTGCAGATGGCTTCAAGGATTTTGGAGGGAGCCAAATAGATAGCCAGGTGACATGCTACGAATCAAATGTCGCAAATCAGTTCCTGGCTATTCCGGGAATTTTTAAAAGCTTGCGCCAAGGATTCAAGCGACAAAAAAACGTCGGTCGTGACATCCAGGATGGCGTGACGGTTTTGGAAAATGCGTTCGATATAATCTGTAAGAATTTACGTTTTATCCCCGAGCCTTTCAAAGACCAAGAGCCGCAATTTCCAACTGTGGAAACTCCACGGCAGACGAAGAGTGTTATTGCAACCCGGGATAGCGCGGCTGCAGGCGCAACTAAGACGAAAAAGGTTAATAAGCGCCCTAGGGAAGGAGTAAGCCCGGATGTGAGTCCACAACGAGCGACTCAAAGTGAAAAGAGGATTAAGCGAAAGGATGCTCCACAGCTTAATCCTGAGTCGCTAGTTGAAGCAAAAGGAGCGTCCTCAAGTAGTCTTAGTAAGACGTATGCCGATACCGTCTTGAAAGACGGAGCGGACATTGAGGATGACTTTAAGGTTGTTGGAAAAAGAAACAAACGGGCTCCAGGAAGAAAGACCCAAGGCGAGAAAAAAGAGCTCACGAAGCCCCCTTCGAAAATCAGGTCCACGGAAGCTGTGAAGATCACGGCAAGAGATCCAAAGTTTTACGAGGGTATCTTGCCGCTGATAAAAGAAAAGGTTAAACCTGAAGATACAGGCACCGTGGTACAGAAAATCAGGAGAACTTTTAAACAGGAAGTTCTCCTGATAGTAAAAAAGGGTGGAGAGACCTTAAAATTTGCGAAAAGTCTGTCCTTGGCCCTGCATGGCAAGGCCGAGGTCATACCTCTTGTAAATAAGAGGTCTCTAGAAATCAGAGACCTGGATGAAGCCACTACAGAGAGTGAGGTGACTTCAGCATTGGAAGAAAAGCTGGGCAAATCCGACCTGCCTATAGAGTGCAAATTACTGCCGCGCTACAAAGGAACTAAGGTTGCTCTAATCCGCTTGGCAGAAGCAGAAAGTAACATTCTGCTTAAACTTGGCCGAATCAAAATCGGCTGGATAAATGCTCAAATTCGCGAGCATGTTAAAGTAGATAGGTGCCAAAAGTGCTTAGCCTACGGACACTCTACCCGAACCTGCAAAGGCCCCGACAGAAGTAAAAACTGTCGGAGATGCGGCGGAGAGGGACACCTCGCGAAGAGCTGTAACGTTAAGCCGAAATGCCTTACTTGCTTGGACCTGGGGAAGCCAGAAACGGATCATGAGTCCGGAAAGAGAGCCTTTTTGGTTTACAGGGAAGAACTGCAAAAGATTAAAAGGGCAAACCCTTAAAATTTTTGCAGGTCAACCTGCATACAAGTAAGGATGCACAGTTGCTCCTAATGCAAACAGCAAGGTAAAATAAGGTCGATATCCTGTTCTGCAGTGAGCAGTATCAAGAAAGCGATCTCGCCCCTTGGTATCAGGATAAGGCGAAGAGAGCCGCTATAAAGCTGTGCAACCCAGAATTGCGGGTTGACAAGTTTCTGGAGACGAGCAGTGGGTTCGTGTGGATACAGGTAGCTAATATACGTATGTATAGCTGTTACTTCTTACCCAACGACCCACTGACAAACTTCGAAGCCAATATCGAAGACCTAGAAGCGAGCCTCACAGAATCCAGGCTGGATGTCATCATCACTGGTGATTTTAACGCAAAGTCGCCAGAGTGGGGTGAGACGAGACTCGACAAGAGAGGAATTCGTATTGGAGAAATGATCTCCAGTAACGACTTATTAGCTGTGAACCGAGGCAATACATGGACTTTTAGACGAGGTGCGATCGGATCAATTATAGATCTAACGATCGCATCGTCTAAACTATTTAGCCGCATAAGCGACTGGCGGGTCTCAGAGGAATATACCGCAAGTGACCACCAGTACATTGAGTTCTCAGTCTCGATGGGAGGCACACGAGGAGAAAAAAGACAGGATGTTCCTAGTCGCAAAACGTCCTCGTGGAATATGAAGAGACTCGACAGGGAAAAGTTCGGCCGGTCCCTAAGAGAAGCCCTTTTGATTGAGGACTTGGGCTGGGTGAAGAGGCCGAGCAGTCTGGATGGGAAGGTGCGAGCGGTGAGAAACATGATAGTCACCGCTTGCAATGCGTCAATGCCACGCAAAGGCGCCATTCCCGTAAGAAAATCCTTGCACTGGTGGTCAGAGGAGCTAGCCTCCTTGAGGAAGGAATGCCTCAAAGCAAGAAGGACATATACCCGATCTAAGAGAGATCCCTTGCTGAAAGAGGCTTTCAAGGAGGCGAAAAAGAACCTCAAGAAAGAGATCCGCAAGTCGCGACGCCGTAGCTGGAAGGACCTAATCGAGGAAGTCCATAAGGACCCATGGGGTCTGGCTTTTAAAATCGTGACTAAGAAATTAGTGACGAGGCAAAAGACCCCCGGCCTGGACAATCCCGATTGGGTCAGAAAGATAATAAGTTCTTTGTTTCCTCCTGCAGAACCATACCTTAGACGGGACTGGAGTTCTTGCAAAGTCGGAGAGGAAGAACTCTTCACACTTAGCGAATTGCACAAAGCAGGCAAAAGATTGAAAACAGGCAAG